TATCAATAACGTTTTCTTTTCTTTGTTGATCAAAAAAAATACTTCGAACCAATTAGCATTTCAGAGGTGGAATATTCAAACTTGGAGGGGCCAATTCCTTAATAATATAAATTCAACCACAAATATATAGGGGTGATTTGAAAAGTTGGTTAAAAGCTGATTTTTTTTTGGCTTTTTTTGATTTTTTTTGTCATTTTGTGTGTAAAAAATATAAGATGCGATGTGACCTAAAATGAATTAAAAGTTAAAATACTTAATTCTACTGTACTAATAATTCTATTTAACCTAATCCACCAACAAACTGACCTATAACTATTCATCTACTTGTCTAGAAGTATGCAATGTTAATAAAAATAAAAATATAAAAACCTACATAATTCGTGCAACTACAACTCTTTTCCATACTTATATAAGTTGTTTTTATTTTTTTCCTTAAATCTACTGAAGTTTTTGTTTTTGGATAGACAATCTACTGAACTTTATGTTGACATACCATTACTAGGCATGTGACACAAGTTAAATTGTGAAGCAATATTGAACCTTCTGAAGCAAGCAAACCAAGAAAAACACACATACTTGCCAAAATAAATTTCACAATTCCAGAAACACGCAATGGAAAAGAGAAAGAAAAAAAAAAGATTGGCTTCATACACTAGAAAAAAAAAAAAAAAAAGATTGGCTTCATATGCATAAAGAAATTTTGTCTCGTAACAATGATGTAGTATCACTGCTTTATTGAATTTTTACTCCAAATTTAGATGCCGCTAGACTGCATGAACTCTTTATCGTTCTCCATACACTACAGGAAATACAGTTTTTAATGGCGTTTGTAAAACGCCTCTAAATATTTGAAAAACGCCGCTAAAACTTTTGGTGACGTTTTTATTATACGTCGAAGATACGACCGTTGTTATATGTTTGCGACGTTTAAAAAACGCCGTTGTAGACCTTATTGCGACGTTTTAAAAACGTCATGCTACAGTCACCGGCAGTGATTCGTTCAGGCAAGATGACATCATACAGACCCTATAGCGGCGTCTTTTACAAAAATGCCACCAAAAGCACTTTTTTTTTTTTTTTAATTTAGTTGCTACTGTCCATATATTTGTTTTGTTGTGGTCGCTGCTGTGCTGCTTTGTATTGGTTTTTTGTGTGGTTGATGTGTTGCCCTGTATTGGTTTTTCTGCCAGTTGGTCTCTCACCATTTGGCTTGGGCTAGCAAATGATTGGGTGGCTTTCTTGTGCCAACCTTGTTGGAATGAGTAAGATTCACTACGATGCTCTTAGCACTGCTTTTGGTTTTCTTTATTGATGTAAGATGTAAGGATTTTTTCCTTGATTTTAATTCAATAAAGTTTAATTTTTGCTGATAAAAAAAAACAAAAAACAAAAACCCATGTAAATTTCCAACACAAAAAAAAAAAAAAAATGGAAGACAACATTTCACACAACTGAAATGTAGAAAATATTAGAGATAAATCACAATCAAATCACCTTGTCCAGCCAAACTGCAACATATGATTTAATCCATAAGTTACCTGCAGATGTTTTGCTGCAGAAATTTCCCAGAAATACAAAACACAGAACTTTAAAAGAAATTACACAAATAAATTAAAAACTCCTCTGTTTTTGAGCCATGAGTTCTATACATTTTTTCGCATGTTTTACCCTATGTAGCTAAACCCTATGTAAATTTCAGGACTTGATTATATATATAGATGCCAACATACAGATTTCAACCAATCAAGTTCATAAATGCCATTCAGAGCAATCCAAAGCCATAACCCGATGTAGAACAAAACCCTACATGGAAGATCAAAAGAGATTGAAAAATCCCGAAGAAAAATTACAAATCAAGTGCGCAAAAATAAGATTACCAAAATGAAAATCAAATGAGAAGTACTCGAGATTAAAGGAGACATATCAAAGAGTTAAAATTCTAGTCTTCATTTGACCAAACTGAATGTGAACAGATACAGAACTATTTCTTAACTGTTTAGGTAGGGCTTTAGATCAACATATAAATAAATAAAAAATAAATGAAGAAGGCAGTTATATTACAAAAATACATGCATATATATATGTGTGTGTGTGTGTGTGTGTGTGTGTGTGTGTGTGTGTGTGCGCGCGCGCGTGTGCATGCGTGCGTGCATGTGTGTGAAATTTCTAGCAACATAATAGCACCAACAATCTCATTAGTTTATGATGCAAATAGCAAAATATTCATGGATTCCTCTCTAATTGGTCTCAAGTATCTCTTTAAAAAGAAAAGACAAGTACAGACAGATAGCCAACCATTGCTTTAGTAATTAATGGGCCTATTGAGCACATTTAAACAAAAACATGAAGATCGAAAGACATTCCAAAACAAGGGCCACATTTTAATGCTTTAACAACATTTGAAAATATATTGATAGGGTTTCCATAATCTAGTTGGAAAACAACCTAAAATAACCTTTATTTAGCAACAAGCAAAGAACGCTGAACATATTAGAGAATCCCAAAAACTTCACAATGATATGGTAAAATGTAATACCACAAAGTAAACAAATACCCTTTTAAATAATTATGCATGAGTTGCATGTCTACAAGGCCTAGTTTATAGCTTATTAATAAAATGAACAAGAAAAGTGCAACTCTACTTAACTCAAGCAGACCAAATGACACTACTAGGCTTGCTCAAACTCAACATTTCTTAATTTTCTTAGGTTCCAAATATCTCATGTCTTCTCATCTCTTACAGATTCCTAGTATTGATTTCCCTATGCTATGCAACGAGCATGAACACCTTTGTTTCCTAATCTTCCTAATTATCCAAGTAAGCCACATTATGTTTTTAACTATACAGCTGATGATTTGCCTGATAATGTTTTGACACCTACAAGGAGGACTAAGGTGAAAGTTTTGAAGTATAATTCTAATGTGCAAATAGTATTCCAGGGGACCAATGTCCTGAGTTCAGCTGAAAATCATCCAATGCATCTGCATGGGTTCAGTTTTTATGTTGTTGGGTCAGGTTTTGGGAATTTTGACAAGAAAACTGACCCAAAAGGGTTTAATTTGGTTGATCCACTTGAGTTGAACACTGTTGGGGTCCCTAAGAATAGATGGGCTGTCATAAATGGATGGAGTCAAAATATATCAAACTTATACTTTACCATATTTAATTTCACTTGCAAAAATGCTACAAATGCATTTCCTGAACAAATTGGCCACAAATACTAAGCCGAATTCCCTCAAACAAACCATAGTCAATGAGATTACAGCAAAATAAACAAACCACCTATTTCTACCACCACAGCAAAATCACAACAAAATCAAAGCAAAATCAAATGAAATGGAGTGATAGCACAACAAAATCAAATGAATCTCAAATGAATCAAGTGAATGCTGGAACTGGCATTACAGCATATACAACTCATCAGTGAAAAACAATTACTGAAATAGAGAGAGAGAGAGAGGGAGAGAGAGAGAGAGACGGAAAGGAAGAGTTTCAAAGAGGGAGAGAGAGACGGTGGAGCTCACCTTAGTAGACGATGGTGCAGATGGTGGTGGAAGTGGAGCTTTGAAATCGAAATCAAAATTGCTCTGAGATGAAATCACCGAGACCGATCTGAATCTTTGCGAATGATAAAGGTTTCACTGAAACAGAGAGAGAGAGAGAGACGGTGGAGCTCACCTTAGTAGACGATGGTGCAGATGGTGGTGGCGGTGGATCTTCGAAATCGAAATCGAAATCAAAATTGCTCTGAAATGAAATCACTGAGACCGATCTGAATCTCTGCGAATGATAAGGGTTTCACTGAAACAGAGAGAGAGACAAAAAGGAAGAGTTTCAAAGAGGGAGAGAGAGATGGTTGAGCTCACCTTAGTAGATGATGGTGCAGATGGTGGTGGCGGTGGAGCTTCAAAATCGAAATCAAAATCGTTTTGAGATGAAATCACCGAGACCGATCTGAATCTCTACGAATGATAAGGGTTAGAGAAAGAGAGCTCCCTCGCCAGTGCAGATGGTAATGGCGGTAGAGCCTCTGAATCTCGAAGTCGCTTTGAGAATGATAAGGGTTTAGATAGAGAAAGAGAGAGAGAGAGAGAGATTCCTGGACTAAGTGAGAGAGAGAGATTTGGGCATATTTCTCAGATTCAAAATTAGAGTTTGAAAAGAGTGAGAGGAAGCACGTGAGGCACACCATATTTGGAGGCGTTTTTAAACGCCTCTTATTATAAAACGGTGTCATTTTAAATAAAGAAATATGCGACGTTTTATAAAACGTCATTAAATATTAATAAAAGTGACGTTTTAAAAAGCGTCGTTAAAAAAACGCTACCTAACTCTTTTTTCCTGTAGTGATAACAAGAAACTTCTCGAGTAACATGCAAACTTCAATGTCAACGCTCCCTTCTTCCATTCTAGGAAATACCGTTATCTTCCCATCCGTCTTATTTGCTAAGCCACTTCGCACTGCCAACGGTTTTCCCTAACCTAAGTCGTTACCATATACATTGAACCGAGGTGAACTACTCGTGTACAAAGTAGCATTCGCCAAACTACTCATTGTCAGTAGTTTTGGATTTTTCACCCAGCAATTGAAGAAGTCCCTAACTACATCATTTGTTTGCAAAGCAATTACGTCATTTATTTTCAAAGCAGCCCAACCTAATCCCTCCTCCAGCAGCTCGCCCACTTTTGTGCATACAACCTCACCATGAATTACATTCCCAAAATACCCTTCCGGTAGTGAGGGTTTCAATCTTGGCCTTGCACCTATGAATAACTTATACCTCACCTCTTGGTTAGTGTCATTGATGCTTTGGCAGCGTACGACAGATCGCAAAAGATGAGCCAACAGTGCTTGGAGAGAGGAGATAGTAGTGGTGCTCATCTCGGCATTGACTTTGGCTTTAAGTTTTGCAATTTTCTCTTTTGTGAAATGGAAAACCCTTTGTTCTAATGTTGTTGGTATAACGAATTCATCGTCTTCATTGGAGCTAAAGGGGGTTCAAACAGGGCAATTGGTATTGCTAGGAAACCAACGGTTGAGAACTGGAGGTCGTGGTATATTGTCAGAACCTAGTGATATTTCTGACCAAGAATTAAAGAACTGCCAAAAAGATGAACCATCACCGATTACATGATTCATGGTGCAACCAACGAAGAAGCCATCGACGAGCCCATTTACTTGAACTGCAAGTAAGGGTTTGGAAACGCCTTCGTGATTAAGGACACCATTAAGTGGGAACAAAGAGTTGACAATGTGAGGCACGTACACAGAATCAAGCATATCGTTGACAGTGATATTGTCAACAACTGAATAAATGAAATGAGCTCCGGCATTGTTGCAGTCTACGAAGAATGAGGAAGTGTTGTCATCATTTTCAATGACACCAAGGTGGCCAGTGAGGAGAGGGAAGAACCCGAGTGTGCGGGAGAATGAGATCTTGAGATGATCAACTATGGTGTTGGCTAAAAGTTGTTTTTCATGTGATGGCGCTGGTTTGTGAAACAGAAAACCCTTTTGAATAGAGCCAAGTAGGAGAAACTGGAGATCCCATGGAGTTAACTGAATTCTTTCACTATGGAGACTTGAAGATTGGACTACACTAGTAGAGATGAGCCTATTTCCCTCCATGTTTGGTTCTCTCTATGCAATTACTTCTATATTTGATGTACAAGCTCAGCTTCAATTAGTCCAATAATTATAGTAAGAAGATGCACGAGATTTTTTTAATTATCATGTCTTTAATTTAATATTTTAATGCCAATTTGAAATCCGACTGTGAGGATATCAATTTTTCTTCGTCTCCCTCTAATACCATGCTTCCCATGTGTTTATAATTTTTTTTTCCACTTAAAAATAGGCTTCTTCCGACTTTAATCACAGTCTAAATCTTTTATTAAAATATAAACTGGATCCCCAATGAATATGAGTAGTGTTATTCAAATTCAAAATTAGACCCACTTTTCAAACCTAATAATCAGTCAACCAATCACTCTCATGTATTGTTTTTCATTTTCATATTTTGTCTAATTATCAATCAATTATCTCACTTAAACATTATTGGATTTAGAGAGTTTGTCTAAAAATTAAACTTGTATATTATTTTCCTAAATCATATATATATATATATATATATATATTTTATTTGGGTAAATTATCAAAAAACCAATAAATTATTAGTGGTGTTACATGCACCAATTGATATATTAATTAGTGTATCAACATATGTTATGATATTATCATTTCAAAACTATGAATCCAACCTATTATATAAATTATAAAGATTCAAAATTTTTAAAATTATGTTACATTATTTATCAATACACTAATTAATATACAATTGATAGCTGTAGCTTTATTCATAAATTATAATATATGTACAATTGAGAACACACGTGTTACACGCTAGTGCAAGAGTTGCGTATCTTGACCACATGGATTAGGGGCAGCAACTATCAATATTATATGTATACATGTTGTATTATCATACAACTATTATTGAGATCTCAAAAAGAGCCACATTGATTATATTAAAACATAATTATTGAAGTAGAAAACAATGGAAATAGATTCACTGTTGTGCCTCCATTTAAAGTGTATTATGACCTTATTTTTATAATTCAAATCGTTCATTTTGTAGGATTAGTTGAGTACTTTATGTCTACCAAAAATTATATTAATCGGATATCAATAACTATATGATCAAACTACATATTGTTTATGTTATTTCTCAAAAGAAAAATTTATTATTTATTTATTTTTTTTGGTTATCGACCATATAGTTGTTGATATCCGATTAATATGATTTTTTAGTAGGCATGAAGTACTCAACAAACTCTACAAAATTAACGGTTTAGATCATAAAAATAAGGTCATAATATACCTCAAATAGAAGCACCACAGTCACTGTTGTACTTTTTAACATAGCAGTGACCCTATTTCCGAAAAGAACCCAATTTAATTAATCATACAAGATACATACTTATAAATCCGTATACATTATAATCTTAAATATTAAACTAATTAACTATTGGTTGTAAATTAGTTTAGACAAGTATAAAGTTAAACAGTTCAATAAGTCAATTGTACCATTTTGGGGAAATTTGCTTGAAACTTATATGTGTACCTAAAAATCCTATGAAATTTATTAGTCACATAAAGTCCCATCCACTTATGAAGTTATTTCATGAGATATTTTTAGAATATTTTTTCGTTAGTTTTTGGACCATTATAATCTTATTCCTTATTCACAATTTTTTCTTTTTTTTTTGTATTTTTTTTTTTTTTTTTCAGCTTATATGTTTAGAATTACTGTTATTATTATATGATTATCCATTGTTAAATTTTATTTTGATGTGAGATTGCTCATATCATGGTAGTATATATTAATACCTTATTAAACTTTTTTGAAATGTGTCATTTAATTCTCATGTGATTGTCCCATTAGGAAGATTCATCGAGAGATTTTAATGTGAGATTTGGAAGATTTTGATGTGAGATTATCCATATCATTGTAGTATGAATATTTAGGAGTGTACACGGTCTGGATTAGTTTAGTTCTGAGAAAATTTAAGAACCAAATTGATTCTAACGGTTTTGTGATTTTGAGAACCAGACTAAACCATTACACTTGTAAAATCAGACCAGAACTGAACCGAAATAACGGTTTGGTTCACGATTCCAAAAATTTCTATTTACAAGAATAAATTGTTAATATTAGCAAAATAATTACTCAAACTGATTACATTTAACTCATGATAAAAACTAATAATGTTAAGGCATTACTTAACATTGTATATCTATATCATCTTAATATTATTAAAATTACAAAAAATCAATTAATAAAAATAAAACTTGATATGATAATATTAAATATTATATATATATATA